CACAGGCCCAGACTATTGCAGAGCCCACATTGCCAGCTAACACTCAAGAGGGAGAGGTAAACTGAAGTGATTACAGCTGTGGATGTGACACGATTTTTCCCTATCCTTGCATGCCCTAGCCAGGTTTCTCCCTTGATAAAAAGGTAGTTTTTTCCAGGTTCAAATAAAAAGGACAAGAGAATAATCCCTCACCCTACCCCGTGGATAAACAAATTCTGACAAGCATCATCATTGTCATTCATAGTGGTGATTTCAAACCTCCTTCTCAACTGCAATTTAACATCTTAACAAGCGGCTTAGCCAAGCACTCCACTACAATGAAAAATCTTTCACACATTACTTCTTCCAAGAAATCCATCACCTACACCACAAAATTAGCATCTGTCTTGTCTTCCCTTGCCCAGAAAAAAGATAAAAAGTTCAGATGCAAACCTTACCTAGCTGTGATAGCAAAGTAACCACGGACAAAGCCAGAGACGGATTTATATTAGTGTCCTCCAGGAGCTCTACAAGGCAACTGAGACATTCACTTGGTAGAATCTGGTTTGAAGCAAAAAACCGGGTAAGCTTCAGTCCAGAGATAACCTGGAGATGAAAGGAGAAAAACAAATCAACTTACTCAACTGCAACAAGGTAACTGACACAGAAGTCAAAGCACAGAGTTGTATAAAAAAAGATTTTGTCCTAATATAAGTACCGCTCTAATGGTACACTGTTATTCACATCTGCCGGGAAAAACAAAACAAAACAAAACAAAAAAGAAGCAGTAATGGAAAAAAAAATCTGTTTTCCATTCCTTTATGCTTGGAAAGTGCCAGGTTTATTTATTCTGAAAGAATAACCCAACAGATTGCTCAACACAAACACAAAGCAATCAGCCTGCCTTCCAAAGGCCTGGACAAGGACCCAAAGGAACCTGAGCTCGGGGAACTCTGTATAAGACGCCAAAAATGATACACCTTCACACCAATACAGGTAAACACGGTTTATATTTTGCATAATGGAGACATATCACGTTGGTTTTGTGTATTCCCTGTGTCTCTTTACAAGAGATACAGAGAAGAAAGCAAAGCGAGATACTAACTCTCATATAAACGTTCTAGCAATTAAAATAAATCTGTATTTGAAAAAGGTAACTTGGAGATGAATTCAAAGGCCATCACATAACTTGTACACAAAGCTGAAGATCAGGGAAATGCACTGGCCCACCTCCTTAGCAGAAAACACGTTTGTATACGTGTTGCACGGAACCGGAAGACTCCAGACACAAGACCAGTTCGTCATTCACATGCTATTTTTTAAGCTGTGAAATGATTCATGCAGGCCAGAATTTTGGGGATAAGTAAAAAAATAAGCCCCCTGTAACACGTACTATCTGCTTGCCCTGGGTGCATATAGACTCAAAATACACCTCTGTAAACACACAAAACTTTCTAATAACAGACACCACAGCACCCCACGCCCCGCTACCACCGCGGCCCCGGGACGGGCGCCGTTCGCACCTCCAGGCTGCGCTGCAGCAGCGCGGCGTTGTGCGCTGTCTTGGCGGCGCGGTACTCCGTGGCTGCCAGGAGCAGGGCCTTCATGCAGCCCGGGATGTCCATGGCGGCCCGGCCCCTCAGACGCTGCGCACCCGGCCCTCACTCGCATTTCCCGCCGGCGCCGCCATCGTGACGCAGCGACCACTGAGCGCGAGCGGCCGCCGCGCGGCACCACGGGAGACGCCGCCGCCGCCATCTTGCTTAAGGGAGACAGGGGCGGGCAGAGCTACGGCTTGGCGGAGATGGCGAGGGCCGGGGGATCTGGGCGGTGTGGGCGCTTGGTTCGCTGACACCGGCTTTAGGGCTCCCGTGCCGTTGGGGCGATCCAAAGGGATGCTTTTCCTAAGCGGAGTTCTGTGTGGTTGGGGTGAGCTGAGTCTTCCAGCCGCTCAGCCTCTGGAGGGTCGCCTCCGATTGGAGCTCCCGTCCGTTCCCGCTTGGCGCCCGCAGCCCTGCCCTGCCTTCCTGCTTTCTTTCTAGTCCCCATTATCCTTTCTTGTCCGTCTAGGGAGGGCTTAAGCCCGGTCGGAAGCTAGCTTCCCCTTTCCGCCTGTGGTTCCCTGGTCTCTCCCGCGGGAAGGGGAAGTTTTGGCGGTGTCTTAACTATGGCGAGCACCGAAACTGCGGTCCGGCCGCTCGTCCGGCTCGCACAGCGACCCCCGCAGGCCGCCGCGGGCACAGCGCCTGCCCGTGCTGCAGCAGGAATCCTTAACTCGTATCCATTGTGGCTGGAGCGCCCCGGGACACCGGGATCATGTCCTTCGTGGACCGTGTTTTTCCTTACACTGTGGGCTCGAACCTTTCGAGGGTACAAGAGGTACGAGAGGGGGTTCTACCCCCTCGCTGCTCAACCCCCCGACATGGACACACACACTCACCCACGCACCTTTCGGATGCCGGCAGGTAGATGCTGCTGTGTGAAGCTTTTGAACTTGTTTTCTCAACTCGTGCGTAGATTGCTTTCTGCCATATTAGGCCTGCAAATATGTGTAGGAATGTCTATATTGGCCTCTGTATTTTCCTATACTGTTAATAGGACAAACATTGCTGTAAAGTGCAGGTGAGCAATGTGAAGGTAATGTAAGTGTCATTGTGTCTCTTTTTCCTTTTTTAAGTCCTTGATCCTTCTTGTGTCCCCTGCTTCACATGACTGCTGCAAGGGAACACTGGAGAAGTGACTGGAACATGGGCTTGGAGTCACCCTCAGTCCTGGATGCCGCACCAGGAGCTGTACCCACTATGACTGCTGTAAATCTGAATCCAAAACACACTGCCAAGTGCCACCTGAAAGGCACCACAGCCTGGCCCTTGTCCCCTGCTCAGCCATCAGAGTCACTCAGTAGGCAAGTGAGGCACAGGCTGGGATTCCTTGTCACTTGGCCTTTTCCCAAGGCTGAACATCAGTGTGACTGAGTGAGCACCTGGGGAACTACTGAGACTTGTCATTTCAGAAAAAATCCTGCAGTGTTTGTGCTTTGTTAAGGACCGTGCTGCTAGAGGTGGGGTGTCTTAGCACAGCACTTCCTCAGTCTGGTACCTGTGATAACCAGCTCTCAGACAGGCTGCTGGATTCTGCTAGTAAAGAAACACATCAGTTATGTGCTTCTGCAGGGCAAGGGCTGGGGTGTTTATGTCCCATATGTTATAAATGAGAGACAAAAGTCTCGATATTCAGCAAAATTTAGATTGATTTATTTGATAGAGAAAGAGGGGAGCGTGAGGGGTCACTGCCCACTCCATGCTCCACTGAACCTCGTTTGCAGCCTCTTTTTATACTGTGGTTTCTCATTGTACACAAATTCACAAAGCCTTTGGGTGATAATTAGTCACAGATAGCCATCCGGTCCTTGTAGATTACCACCAGGGAAGTTCTGGAGGTCTGGTCTTTGTAGATAACCACCAGAGAAGTTCTGGAGGTCTGGTTTTTGGGATAGGCAGTATTGATTAGACAAAGGCAGGAAGGGCTTTTTGGGAAGTCTGATTTTGCAAGCTGGTAGCCGATACAACTTATTTGAAAAACATAACATATTATAATGTAACATAATACAACATAATATAACATAATATGGTGATTTTAAACAGAATTATTTAATCATATAATTTTCTTTATCTAGTGTCCATGCTTCACTTTAGAGCTTAGTATTCTGGTTTATACAAACCCTAATGCTTTTGTGATTAACAGGAATCTTTTATCAATTGTCACACATAGTACCATTTTTCATGGACAACTACTTTCTTGTCAATTAATGACATTTTGGACATATATTTTAGTATTTCTTGGCATTGCTAGGGCTAATTAATAGTCTCTTTTTATTCTTTTTTATTTGTTTTGGTTTTGTTTTTTGGTTTTTGTCTCTTTCATGCTACAAATATTAGTTGAGCCCGGAGCCAAAAACTCTGCAGCACTGTTAAATTCATAATGAAGTCCAAAGCACTGGAAGGCTTAAAATGCCTTTGACAAATAATGGTGTGTGAGAAACATAATAGAAAAAAAATTTCTAACTAGTATTACCCATTAAAACACATAAATAATTTGTGAAGGGTCTTAAACATACCACCGATACAAATGTCTTCCTCACAGTCTCAAATGGTGAGGGAGCCTGTAGTAGTGACTGGAAGACTCAGGACATACATTCCAGTTCTGGCTGTGGCTGCTAGTTGCAAGCCACCTTAAGAACTAAAGTATTTATTAAATGTTTAAAATTTGGGGTGATATTAAAGCAAATTCTTACACTTAAAAAAACAGCCAAACAACAAAAGACATATACATAATACAGGACTAATGGCAGTAGAAAATTAAATGGAGTAAACATTCCTATATGTACAGCACCTATTAAAAAAAGATGCGTTCATGCTGACTTGTAGTCCTCTTGTAATGTGCCAAAACCATTCCTCAACATTAAAAGTATTTCAAACCATTTTCCTCCAGTTGGTTAATTTTTTATGGCATGGAGTTAACACAGCATTTTTGTTTTAATTGCATTATTCAGTTATACAGACTACTAGTATTCCTTGATTCCTGAAATACTGTTCACTCCAACAATGAGGTAACATGAATCATGTGCAAAATTACAGAGTTTGGGAGATTTAAAACATCTTACAATGCCGGTAGTTTTGTCATACGTGGTTTTTATCAATACCTGTCAATTCTGCCATAAATTACTGCTTTTTGCCTATTCATTTAATGTATTTATATTGCTGCCTTCTAACAGAATGTTCACTCTAGCAGTCAACGTCTCGGACAATTTCCTGGCTAAAAACCACCAGAAGACACATACATGGACACAAGATACTTCCCCCCATACCTATGTGTGTGTGTGTGTCTGTGACAAAAGTACTTCTTCTGTTGCTGAGTAAACATGTAGACTAGCTTGTACTGGATCTGGTGGTAGAAGATACAACTGCTCTGATAGTCTGCAAAAGGAGAAGGTTAATTCCAGATGTGGAGCAGAGGCTGCCCAGCTGGAAGCCCTCTGCAGCTCAGGCACTGTGCTGGAACAGCTGTGCACATCCTGGAACTGCAGCTTCCCAAAGCGTCAGGTGCAGATCCGTCAGGGTAACACATGGACGTAATCACCGCTGTCATCAACTTCTGTGAAGTAATCAATACAAACAAAAAAAATGTCATTGCAATGCGCCCTTCTGAAAGGCCATGGGAAGCAGCACTGCTTGTGGCAGGGCAGGTATCAGTAACTCAGTTTGGTTTCTTGGTGTTCTCTGCTATTGCAGGGCCAATGTTTAGGCCCCCTGTCTTTTGGGCTGGATTTTCCAGGAACACACCTGCAGGCAAAGCCTGCATTGCCTTTTCTGAGCCAGCAAGCACTGTTGTAAACATTTGTATTCACATGAGACCCCCCCTCCTTCCTGAGGAACAGTCAAATGTCAGAAAGCATCCATTCTTGGTAAATCAGATCAATAGCCAAGATATCGGTGACTTGCAGAACACATCCCTTCTTCTGTAAATAAATACCCAAGAGAAAAGTCCTTATCCCAACTGAGGGAGGAGAGCCTGAAAAATCCTGTTCTCTCTTACACTTTGTCAGATTGGTTACGATTTTTGAGAAGCCAGGGAAAAGGCAGAAATTCAATGCTTGAAACTCAAAGCTCCACCATGGAAACCGATTGCTCTTCAAGCAGCTGCCCTCAGAAAAGCTGTTCCTAGGCTAGAAAACAAAGCTCAAATACCTCCAACCACCAGGAATGTGACCCCAGTCCCTTGAGGTGTTCCACTGGTTATGCTGGAGCCCTCAGTCCCACGTGTGCAGCAAAGCCAGCTGCTGGTGGCATGTGAGGGACACAGGACGGGAAATAGGGTGCTTGCTTTAGGGAGTACTGCAGTGCTCTGGGTAGTTTAAGAGAGAGCCATCATGACCATTTACATAAGCCTCTGCTGTGGGCATGTAATAATACAGTCTGAGAGGGAAGTTTGGAATGCTGTATAAGTGAAATTAAAATCAAAATTTAATAAAAACAATTCCAAAGTAGTTTGATTATTTCTAAAAAGCCTCAATTTTTAATGGAAGACTACACATATATTGACACTGAAATGAAAGGGTTTGTTTTCCTCCCTGTGAGTCCAGATGAGGACATTGTGCATCTTCTAGAAGAATTCCTATTGCAGGACCAAAAATAAAATATGTATTACACCTGATTCTTCCTAAAAACATATCCATGTTACTGCAGTATTTTCCGTCTCCCTGGAACAGCAATGATAAGAAACCATAAAAACATTTTTGGTGCAAATGTGGCATATTTGGCTTGTGACACAGGTGACAAGGTAATGTTGAAGACGTGGCAAATGTGTCTCTGTGACTTCCCCTCAGCAAGGTTGCTGGGGCTCAGGCCCCAAAACTGCAGCTTAGTGTACGCAGTGCTGGGGGAGCTTGGCCAGAGCGGTTGCCTTGCTCTTGAGTGTGAAACCCCAGCGAACCCTCTGTAGCACAGAAGGGCTGCCTGTCAGAGACTGAAAGAGTTCATGCCTCAAACTTTGATATAAAGTTCTGCTCACTGTAACGAAAACTATATAGAAAAGCTACAAACAAAAAAGCCTCCCTGAAGATGCCTGACTGGAACTTTGGACTGAAAGTCAAACTGCTGAGATTAGATAAAGGGAAAACCCATTTTTCTATCACCTGAAACAAACAAGTAAACAAGGAAAGGAATGTGAACCAAACCCAGGAGCCATGCAAAGAATCATCTCTGCCTCGCTTCTGGTGGAGGGAGACTGTAGCTCCCAGACCCATTTGCTAGGAACAGGTTTGCACAGATTTCCCCTCTGAAACGAGGTGGGGAGAGGAAGCTTGGATGTGTTGTAACCTCTGCTTAGAGGCAGTGAACCCATCCTCCCTTACACAAACCAGCCCATCTCTGGAACCCCAAACCTTGGTAAGGCCACATCCACAGGACATCCACGTGAGAGGCAGCTGAGGGAGTGTCTTAATCCATCAAAGACCCCATAAAGTGCTCCCCAGAGTCGTTCCTGAAGCCTTGCACCACAGCACTGCATGTGATGTAACAAACTCAGAGTCTGCTGTAAGAGACAATGACAAACTCCCTCCTGCCCCAGGGAAGTGCCTGGGTTTTCCTGCCCAGCCTGAGTCTGTATTAACCCATCAGATTCTGTGCTTTCAGGGGGAACCTTCAGCACCAAGAAGACCAGCTGGAAAGGATCAAGGGAACATTGTTGGGATCCATGGAGTGGTGATATTTTCTGTCACTCTCTTTCCCTTCCCCTATTTCTCCTTTCTCTTATTTTTACTCTCCTTTTTCTCTCTCTCCCTCTCATATTTACTATCAAATAAAACCCACACTCTTGTCACTGGCATATGGTCTCGTTTGCACCTTAATTCAGGCAGAGGCATTTCTAATAACTAATAACTGGATCATAACACTGTTGGGGATGGGTAGGGTGGAGACTCCAAAGTTTTGTTTCCTTTATGATATCTGTACTTAACGAAAGGATTTCCCTTGCTCACACGTGCCCTGATTGGAGTTCTCAGCACACTCTGCCAGAGGTCATAGAACAGTCTCAGGGTTATTTTGCAGCCCATGTCCTGATGGATGCTGCTGCTGAGTGTTGTACAGCAGGAACATTAAGAATGATGTGAGAGATACTAGCAAGTTACCAACAGTATCTGCAGTCATGCTTCTCAAAACAAGGATGTAAGGATGACATGGGGCTATGCAACACAGTCTAAAGCTTTATGAGAACTTCTGTCTTTATTGTATCCATCTGCATAATTCTGTCAGGTAGAAGCATCATATCCTTGTCCTACACCTGGGACTTGTGAGCATAAATTAGCAGAAGAGTAATGAGTGGCTGAACTCTGGTTCCAAAGCTGTGATCCTGAGCACAAGGCTATATGCTTGTTATCAGTTAGTCATGTTTGATTACAAATCACAAGCTCACTTGCTTACCTGCCCTCTTAGAACTGAGTAAGATTTTCATATAAAAATATCTTAGAACCTGGAAAATCAAAGTAAAGGACAGCCTCAACCCCCAGTGAAATGCAAGGGCCTGGTACCTTGGCAGAAGCACATTGGGTAAGACTGGTTCTTAGCCTTCTCCAGCCTAGAAGCATCAACATCCAGGAACGAGAGAGCTGTAGGCAGCTTTTTCATCATTGTGTATTTCTAGCATTTTTAATTTGTTCATTTGTTGTAGTGAGGGTAAGTAAACTGTGAGGTAAGAATAACCCTTTCAGTGAAGGTAAGAAGGAAGGGAGGATGTAAAACTTCTGTCCATGCAAGAAGACATTTAACAGGTATTCACCACAAACCTGTCAATGCTATCTTTTAAAAAACCTCAAAGGCAGAGCTTCTCACCATCATAAATGCTGTCCATTCCTGACTTGCACCTCTGACTTCTTCGCAAGTCCTTTGGTTTCTTCACTGGGTAGCGGAGGTTTATTATCAGTCCTTGATTTGGCTTTTCAAAAGTGTATATTAAGTCCTTTAATGTTTTGAAGGTCATCTCTGGAACACCTTCAGAAGTCTGTAGGGAGAAGATAACAAAAGGAGAACAAAATGTGTTTGCAAGTTCCCTTCACATGAAGTTCCCTAAATGAAAAAAATTATAAGTTGTTTCTATTTTCCAAGGAGCTGTTTTGTAAACAAGTTTGGTGACAGAATATTGCACTGTCCTTAAAACACTAGGGACACCTGTTTGGAGCCATGGTTATTGCACTAAAAGTAACCTCCCTCACCATCCTTTTTTTTTCAAAAAGAACATCAGTTAAATTATTGGTGTAGATGAGTGCTGCAGCGATCCAGTAGAGCAGAGTGTTGAAGAGTGACAGCATTACACACTGCACTCTGTTCTGAGAGCAAAATTTTAGGGATAACATATTTAGCTCTCACTTAAAACGTTTCCTTTAAATAACTAGGTGACAAACAGAACCTAAACTTTTACAAAATAGCAGCATTGGCAAGCAAAGGTCGTGCTCAAAAAGCTGTTCCTTAAGTGTGGGTTCATATGACAGGACTGAACTGCTCCTGCAGCTCAGCCCTGCAGGGGTCTGTGCGTGGACTTTACAGTGCTGTGACTTCAGGGCAGTGACAGAGAGTGAGCAGTCTACTAGTAGTCATTAAAAGAGAATGGGGCTTTGGTTTTGCTTAATCTCCTAGCTAACAAAGAAACATGTATTTGTTTTCTTTGGTTTTCTGCATCCTTCATCTTCCATTCGGCCCTGGATGGACTGGGTGCCAATGCCTCTGTGTACTGGGTCTGGCTGGGATGAGTTAATGTTCTTCATAGCAGCCTACATAGTGCTATGCTCTGAATTTGTGACTGTAACAATGCTAATAACATAGCCACCTTTTGGCTGTTGCTGAACAGTGCTCGTGCAGCATTAAGGATGTCTCCTTCTTGCACTTGGTTCCCCTGGAGAATAGGCTGGGTGTGTGCTAGATCCTGGCTATCCCATCTCACCCCATCTGACACTGCAATAAAAGCAATAAAAGCTTAGGGAAAGAGAGGATGTTTGTGGTTATGTGTGTGCTGAGGCCTCACTTTCCAGGAGGTCGCTGAACACCTGCCTCCTGATGGGAGGGATTTGCTAAACTCGTTTGCTTGCTTGTGCACAAAGCACGACTTTGCCTATTTACCTATTACACTGTATTTTATCTGCTCCAGGAGTTTCCTCAGTTTTGCTCTTTGTGTTCTCTTCCTCCACCCTGTCCTGCCAAGGAGGGACGGAGTGAGCAGCTGGGGGGGTGCTTAGCTGGTTGGGGCCAGCCTGCTGCACTCTAGAAGGCTCATGGCTGAATCTGGCCTTAAAAAAACCCCAACAACCTCTCCTCCACCTTCAATTTATTATTTCAGTCAATTAATGTATTAAGCCAAAATGATCTGACTTAAAATTTTTAAGAACTGAATTCTTCTTCTACATTATTGGTGAAACTTTATAAGGAAGAATGGGTTTGAAAAGTCTGAAAATATCTGAGTTACATGTTGACAGGAATGACAGCATAACCCCAGTAGAGTGGCTAAGGTCCAAACCAGAATATTTTTTGTCAGCAAACCATTCTTCTTCATGGGAAATTGTGTCTTTCATACACAGGCAAAACCACTAATAAGCAATAAATTACCAGCATATGAGAGCTTGGAGTGTTCTTTATGAAGTGATTTCCTCATTCCACTTAAGTGCTGCTTAATATTGGCAGTCCTCTTGGCTGTGCTAATACAAGAAGGAGAGTGAGCCAGCTTTTAGATGTCCTTTCACATTGCCTGGGGATTTGATTGATGCATTAGTCTCTCTTACACTTGTTTTACTCAAATAAGCAGCATTATTTGGCATTGTCACTTCAGGTGCCTCACAATCACACAGAATTATAGATCCTTTAAATCAAAAGGATCATTGCAATATCCCATATCTGTATGAGATGTTGCATGCAATAGCAGTACTTTCGAGTAGAAAAAGGTAATTAGGAAGAAGCGAAAGTAAGAAAAGTAATAGATATTTCATCAGTGCCATAAAAAAAATGGTCAAATGAAAAATCAGCTGGTTAATAAATAACAGAGCCCCTTAGATTATAAGGAAATTCTACAAACACAAGAGCTACCTTTTGAGCTCATCTATAATAAGAATTGAGTAGAGAGCAAACTTGGAAATCTTTTCTACAGTATTGTGTTTATGGATTTTTTTAAAATCTATGATCATAGACTAAAAATGACAATAGATTAAAATTATGATTGATCATAGATGAATCTAAGATATTTTAATTTATGATTTAAAAAAAAGTCTATGATCCTTAATGCAGTCTTTAGAGATGTAGTGAGAGTCACTCACCTGTATTCTGAAATATCCTTGGTGTTCTCTGAAGATACGGTAAGTGTAGATGAGGTCCTCAAAGCTGTGAGAAACATCATAGACATAATACATCACATTAACAAAGTGATATATCTGCAAACAGTATTAAAGACATGAGAAGTGCAGTAAAATTGAATAAAGCAGAGACAGAAGAGCAAAAGAGAAGAGATCCTAGAGATTACAAAATGAGTGAAGGTTTAATATCTTGAAATACAAGATTACTCTAACCAGGGGTTTCAAGGAACATATAATCTAAGCCTAACACAGGCCTTTAATAAGCATAATTTTATTCCCCAGACATCACCTCTTCCTATCTCTCTCCTATCTTCCTAGTTGCTCTAACCTTCATTTTGCATTTGTCACAAGAAGGCTGTTGAATTCCTGGAGAGATGTTGGCAGAAAATGGCCTCCAGCCACCAGTACCCCGAAAATGACCGTCTGGCTCCTACTTCTAAGAATAATATTCTTCCTTTGCATTTCCCAGGGTTTTAGTTATTGTTATTCTTGATAATATGCAGGTACCGAGGCTATTGATGTCTTTGGATATATATTTTGTCAGCAGAAATAAAAGCTTTATCAGATAACACACTAGCAGCAATTCAGGAGGTAAACTGGAGATCATGACTGTGGTCAAAAAAGGTAGCAGAGTTGCAAGAAAATATGCATCACAAATAAGTGAGGAAGTTGGGGAGAGGGGAGAGAAGCATCTGAAAACAAGTTTTTTTAACTGGTGTGCCTGTTCATCAGGAGGACTTCAGCTGTACCTATTTGGTCATGTGAACTGTCATGAGAAGGAGAATCTTGGGGCAAAAACCTGGCTCAGGGGACTTGCAGAGAAATGGATGGTTACTCTGAAAATAAACTACTTTATTCTGCCAAAAAGTGACTATGAACTGAGATCAGAACAAGACTTCCAGTTATAACAGATTTATTTTAGTTCAAAGAGTGGTATCACAGGGATGCATATTTTGGTTTTTGCCTTCTTGAGATACCTATGGAAATCCACATGTTCCTTGTTAAAGAGTACTTTTATAAATGTGAGTGCTCATTCTTTGCACAGAGACAGAGAAGTGAGAAAAAGAACTACCTGGAAGTGATCTTTTTGAAACTTGTTCTTTACTGATCAATTAAATTTTAAACCATTACTGTCTGGATATTATTCAGCTACTGTAATTTTTACTAAATGAACATGTAACTACATTAAAATGGAAACTTCTGTTTCCTCTTTAATTACTAAACGCTTACCAAGAGCTAGTAATAGTGTACAAAAAAAAGAAATGTTTGGTCTGGAAGAAAAGCGAGGTGAGAGGGAGAATGGCATGTTGAACAGTAAGAACAGTAGCAAAACCAGCAAGTCTAAACCGAGGAACTGTCAGAGACCTGGGATAATTGTGGATGAAAGAGAGAGTGTGCTGTGGAGGAAGGTGTAGCAGCAGAACCTTGCCCGATTAGAGGAGAGATGCATTTGAACAGGTCCCACCATTCTGGCTCCCTGGTCCTCCATGGGAGTGCACTCCTTCCCATATCCCAAATAAAAGGACAAGAAAGTTTGTTTGCTGTAGCAAGTGGATCGGTATCTCTGCCCACAGATCAGTTAATTTGAGAAGGGTTTATCAGCTGGCACATCAACCATCTTAGGTGCTAAAAAAGGTGTTAAGATGCAGTTCTAATTCACATGTTGCTTTTGAACATCACTAAGAGTTTCATTATTGATTGCCCCCAGTTTTAGGGCAGTTTGCCTAGGGAACCATGGCCAGGCAGTCCAGTTTTAGAAGCAGTTCTCAGCCAGTGCAGCAATACCATCCCATGTGCTGTGGGATGCACCTGTGCAAGCCACCACCTGTGCACCACTGCTGCCACTCTTGCAGTTTAACTATGGCATTTGTCGGGATTATAGTCAAATCCACTGTTTTCAGTTTTTAATCAGCTTTTAACACTAAAACCCACAGAGGCACACTGGAAGTCACATGTTTTTTCATATGCCTGTACAGAATATTGTGGCAGGCACATGTGACAGGCCAAAGTATGTCTGCAAGACATCACAAGGCAAATCTCCTTTGCCATTAAAAAAAAAAAAAAGAAAAAAAAAGAAAGGAAAAGCAACTGTGTTGGTGTGGCACAAAGCTTAACTCAGGTTCTAACTAACAGTCATTCTTCCTGTGTGTCAGGTTCCCCATTTTTCCCTTCTGATAGGATATGCAGGTGCCTTACCTCCCATCACCCTGCCCTCCCCTCACCCCCTGCATTCTCTTTCCACACCATACTGAAAGCAGGTTCCTGTAGCTCCCTTGCTGAGGGCTCTCTTTGTCCCCCACTTGCTATTTCTCTTCTCCTCATTCTGTTATTTTGCAGACCTCCTTTCTTCTACCCGCCAACCCAGTAGTACTCCATTTCTCTCTCCCTTTTTCTCCTCTCTCTGAAGCAAGGGGGTCAGAAGCTAAAAAAGTGATTGGTTAAGAGTAGCAGTTTAGATAATATATATTGCTTAACATTTGCTGTGCTTGTGAAGACAGGATGAGAGAATGCAAAGATATTTTGATTAGAAAGGGACTGCTTGCCAAAGCAAGATGAAAGAATGCCAGACTTGCAAGGCTGTTGAGCTAAGAAAGGTTCCTCGGACCCCTGGACTGACCTAAACCAGCCCTGCGGTTTGAACTGCAACCAGGAGACCAGGGAGTATTGCAAGGAGCCAAGGTGAAAAGTTCAGCTCCGAGGAAGACTCGTCCTACTTCATCCTGACCACCACCTTAGGACCACCAGAAAGCACTGCACAAGCCCAAAAGGACTTTGTAGCTAATTCTCATACAAAGCGGGGCTAGGAAATTAACATGCATAGATGTGTGGTGGAACTTGATGCACATGTAACATTTCATAATAAGAAATGTTAAAAAAAAAAAAATAGGGAATAAAAAGAGGGTTGAGCTCTTTGGAAGGCGCACATGTCTTTGTTGGAGAAATCCCACATGTGTGCGGTGCTGAATAAAACATATACCTACTTTATACTTTGTGAGTCTTTCTACAAATCATCTTAATTGATTTGTTTCATAAGAAATTCGTTTTAAGTGATTGATAAAAGCATCTTCTCGTATTTTTTAAATTAATTAGATCTGTTAAAAGGTGTTCATGTCACAAACGTATCTGCAATGAGAGTGCAAAACCTCAGAGGTTCAAACAAAAACCTAGATTCTAGTTTTTAAACTTTGAATGCATTACGAACAGATCAATTATATATGAAAAATATACAAAGGGAAATAAAAGTGCTGTTCCCTACAGAAAAATAATATAATAAAATTTTAACTGTAGTTACTAAAGCTTCGGACTAGAAATAACAGTTTTCTATGCCAATTTTGTCTGTGGATTTGTCATACGAATTCAGACAGAACTTTGTAATTTTCAGCCTCAGCCTGTGTCCTTAGGTAAAATTCTTTTGAAACACAAGGTTGAGCTTTAATCAGACAGAACTACAAAAAAGGAAGTGTTTTGTAGCACGCCACGAGACTTTTAAGTGTCTCAGCATTGCTAAAATGCTGTATACTCATCATTACAGAGGCAGTTACTTTGAGTAAGGTTCTTAGCATGGTTTGGCAGGCTGAGCTGTTTTCTCCAGGCTCCCCTTATTTTCTGCAGAGAGAGACTGGCACCACCAGATTATAGTTCATTTACCATCTGTTACATAAAGGGTTTTTTGGAAATGCCATCCTCTCACTAGTCACTATAAAGGAAACTTAAAGCAACCAGCACTACTTGAATACACAGACATACAGGGAAGAGCTATTAATGTTAGAGAAGGTGATTGTTGTCTTTGGAGCCAACTGAAAACTCATAAAAAATCAGTATTAGAGTACTTACAAAACACAGAGACACAAGGCTCCTTCCACACTCTCACTCTCCCGTAGTAAATAGCTGCCATTCTTTTTCTTCTTGCTCAGCAGCTCTTCACAGGCTTTTCTTGTTATCTTCCCATGAAAAAATGGGAATTCCATGGACAAAAGAAAACAAGGTGTCTTGCCTTTCAAAGCAGTTCTAGAGCGAGTCAGAAGCCTGGCATGGAAAGAAGACTTATTCCAAAGGCAACTTCCTGCAGGTATCTGAAATTGGAGGTTGCCAAGGACACAGGGTTCGTTTGTGGTGTTTACTGAATTGTCCTCAGTGAGGTGGGTTAGCTCTGCAGCTTGACAGCTAATGAGCTCCGTGGAGGCAGGAAAGGGTTGCTCTACACTGGTCACAGTGCACATCAAAAAGGAAGACACTTTTTGTCACATTATACCAGCAGACTTTTGGTTTATGTATCACACCTCTAAGCTATGGAATCACCAAGTTCACACTGAGGTATAGCTATATTTTAAAGTTAACTTTTATGTTTAAAGTGGCTCAAAGGCCAGCAAATAGGGTCCTATGCTTCAGGAATAAAACAGGACTGTGTAGGGGAGGATAAAATTATCTAAAAGCACTCTTGTCTTCTTTTCAGGTGATTTTGAGAAGAGAAAATCAGTGTTTGTGATATTTTAATCAGCCTCAGTCAGAAGCCATAAAAAATGCCAGAAAAAACTTGGCAATTTTCTGTTCATGCAGAGATTTAAACAAATTTCATCAAAATAAGCTGTAGAATGACACAAGGTGTTTAATAGAGGATCAGTGTGAGATGCAGGGGCTACTGTCATCTTGATCACAGAGAAAAACAACCTGTGAAAAAACCAAGGTAAATACTGATGAAACACTAAGCAAAAACAACCGTGTTTTACATGTAGCTGTTACATTCATGCTTTTTCTCTGACAACAAAAATTTTACATTAACATTTGTGTGTTTAACTGCAAGTTGATCATGCATCACACTAAGATCATTTCCAGATGGTATCTTAGTTCAGGAATGAAGTACCTCTAAAAAGGTACTGCATTGTCTCAAAGAAATGTAGAGACTTAAGGGAAAAAGATATTCCAAGACAGAAATTGAGAAATGGCAAGTCCAAGGTGATGCTGTTGCTGAGGTCTGTCCTGCAGTGATGACAGGTTACTGATAAAACAAGTCCTGATCACCAAGGGGATGAACTTATTTATATACTTAGCTCCTCTGGTTTCAGACCAGCTTGTCTGGTCTGTCCAAATGCAAACCAGCTGCATTTGGAATAAGTCTTCTTCTATCCTCCAATGGGATGGGGATAGTGATATTGGGAGGGAAATACCCCAGTCATGTAAGCATCCTTAAGAACATGTGACAAAGATTCTCCTTCTGATCAATTGGACTTGTATTTTCCCCAGATTACAACTGTTTGTAGCTTTTTTCCTACACATTGTATAAATAAGCAATTTCTATGAGGTATTGTGAGGTGAATGGCTTTTCCAGAAGCCCAGCTCTGCAAATGAAGAGCAGCAGCTGCTCAGCACTGTCCTGCTTCAGGCAGATTCTCCCCTTGCATTGAAAGGAAGGTAGATAGGAAACAACTGCAAATTCCTCTTTCAAGAAGGTAACAAATAGATGTTCTTCACCATTTTCCCTGAAGATCTCATTACCTAGGTGCAGAAATATAAGACAGTAAGTTCAGTAGATCTTGCAGACCTGAAGGTAGAAATTACTTAAAGTGAAATGGCAACCACATGCTACCTGCTGATGGCTTAGCAGAGTGTTTGATAAAAAAAAATCTTAAGAAGGAGAAAGTGCTTAAGGAGAAATCGGACTGGGATCTCTTTGCAGCAGCAGTCACCACTCACTGGCCTGATCACCTTCCTCCTCAGCTGTCTCCACAGCTCCCTGAGAGCATTCAGGAATTAACATTGTCCTTTTACCCCCCCTTATCTGTCTATAGTATTCAAATGGACTTGAGAATAGGAGCTTGATTTAAAAGCAGAAATCATTGAAATATACCAAAGAAAGGGGTCTGGGAGAGAGAAAGGAGAGAGGCTGTAAATATGGTCTGGTCAGTCACTAAATGTATATGTGTGTGTGTGTGTGTGTGTGTGTGTGTGTGTGTGTGTTTGTTTGTTTGAAGGCTAATCCAGGGGAAAATCCCCACAGCTTCTGGCAAAAACACAACAGGACTTGCAGATGCTAGCCTGGGATCCTTGTTGATGGATGCTATGTAAACCTGGAAAGTTGGGGATTTCCTTGTCAGTCACCACAGAGCTGCACCATGAGCCTCACCACAACTTGTACCACACAGCACTGAATCTTTACTGTGTATGTAGGGATCACATAACAATATATTTCCATGGGCCCAATATAGCTATGAACTCTGAGCAAACATTTCCTAATACAAGTATTTCCATCTTAACAAATCTCACAAATATTTTTGGCTTACACAAACCTGCATACCCAGGCTGCCTTCTCAGCCAAGTGTGAAGAGTGGTAAGAAATGTGATCTGATGAAATGGAGTCTGATTAAATGTGTGATGAGAGACCTGGGGAGCTGGAATGGCAGTGATGCCCCAAGGCAGTGGGACTTGGGTGGTTGAGGTAGTTGCACCAGGTTGAGCCTCTGGGAATCTTAGCTACACCAAAACAAGCAATAACTGTTGTGAATCTGTACTTAAAGTCATTTTAGACCATTCCAAAATAAAATTGGGTTGTTTTATATTTCTCATCCACTTAGGGAGATTTCAGAGTTCCTAGAATAGCCTCCTGCAGTGACTATCCTTTCAGATGGTGGAGAACAGGGGAAAAACAAAGTCCTTTTTCCTGAGAGACTGCCTCTAGGCCTGCTTGTACCATAGGATGGGGAAAAAACCCAGAGTTTTGCTTCTTAAATATCTTCTGTATGTCCAAACAATTACATTCTTTAGTCAATCTTATCTTTTCTGAACTTAATGCAATCACTTTCTTCAGTCTTTTTCCACAAGCCACCTTTTCTTGCAATTATTCTTTTTTCTCTGATATAACTTTGGCTACTACTTCTATAAAATTTGATGCCTATCAATAAGAAAAGTATTTTGATTAGAAGAGCAGGATAGTTACCCACTCTTCACGGAATAGCTGCTAGAGAAACAAGACCTGCAACATTTTGGCAGCAATGCCAAGCCCTCGTTGATCATATATTTAATTGGTTTTCTGCCATTTGGCTGCCTGGACTAATTTTCTTTTTTTATCCTCCTGTTATTGTAAAACTTAGCAAGGCCATTTCATAGTGACGCCTCATGTTAGCGAGCACAGTTGTAGCTCTGGTTCTGGAATTCCTCCTTCGCTGCAGCTCTAGCACAGCAAAGCTCTTGACAGTGGCCTCTGCAAGAACAGGAAGTCTGGGGAGAAGCTTGGCTGCTTGAGGGTCAGCCACTCAGTGAATCATCAGGCAGAATGTGGGATACCAGGGCTAAATAAAAGCTGTGGTCAAAAGCAAAACCAGCGTGGTTGAACTGCTGTGAGCAAAGCAAGGAGCTGAAGGGTCGTTTGTTATCTGGCCAGAAAGAAAAAAACAGTCACAACTTAAGAAAACAGGAGGCAAGTCGAGTTCTAGCTAAATCTCCTGAAATACGAGTTCTCGTTGAGCTGTGTCACTGGGCAGCCCCAGTCCTGTGGCTTACTCTACCAACAGAACCAATAATATTTTTGCAAGAAGAACTGTTACAGCAAAAAATTACATTTAAATTCAATTTACAACTTTAGCATGGTATCTACACCAGGCTGTACTTTTGCAATTTACTCTGCCTAGATACAGAGGGATTTTTTTGGTGGTATCTGTTGATGGCAAAATTTATTTGAGACTGAAAGGAAAAATCATTATGATGCAAATTCAAGAAAATTGAACTAGTGTGTCTATTACTTAGAGATTGCTTAGAGAGCTGTCTGTGGAGCCCCAAGGCATCAGAGCTCTGCCATTAGCTTTCTAAGAAAATATAAACCTAGGAGAAAAAGCCTGTTTTATAACCCTCTTAACATATTGCCTGTTTTTTTAATACAAGTAAAGAGAAAATGGTAGTTCAAAATGAACTGAGAACAGTAGTTCAAACTTGTCTGTGCTAAAGTTTGAATAAAAAAGTCACAGAACCAAACAATTAAAAAAGGTTTATAAGATACATGAATATGTGTAAGTAGTGGCTTTTGGTCTTAAAATTATCTAGCACTTTGCTCAAAAGTTTACTTACAGGATAGAGTCATAAAACAATAATTTTCTTCTCACTGGCAACCACATTGTCAGGGTTCAGAGTAATCCATATTCATTACTCCCTGGGCTTATAATAGCTGCAATGTTTATATTTAAATGTTATGATCTGCCTTTGAGGCAAGGTAACTTAGGCTTTTGTTAATAGATCCCTTGGAGTGAATTAGAGTGAAACTGAAGTGAATGACCAGTGTATATATGAGCCATATTTATTTTAAAACAATCCCATTGCGGCAGAAAGAAGGAATGTAGTAATTTTAGTTATTTTCTACAAAAATATAAAAATATATCCTGATAATTCAGCTTCTAAGACACCATTCATTGGTCTCAAATATCACAAAAATCAATTAATGAAATTCAGTAAAAAGTTAGTTCACATTATAATGCCCCCAAAGTACTGCCTTCCTGTTAAGAAATGTGCAAGTAACGGAAGGTATTCATGGTAGAAGTGACAAACCTCACTTACACCTAATCATGTTTCTATACTTCCGCTACATACTCCATCAAATATAACTGCACTATAAAAGTTGGGGCTTTTGTCTTAATATTTGACAAGACTTTCACCAGGGTGTTTATTTGCACTTCACATCTAGAGTCATATTAACAGTGTCATCATTTTTACCTTGTGAATTTTCTCTTACTAGTAGATCTTTTTACCATTACTAATATTTTCCTAGTCACTGACTTAGTGTCCTGTCCAGAATGCTGTGTACATGGCAGTACAGCTTGCCACATTGGAACAGTTTGCATAATATTGAAAACTACAGTTATTTCCCCTCCCTCCCCTTCAGTAATGAGGCACTGAATAATGTAAAGAAAAATAGGATGACAACATATAAACTTCAGAGGGCTCTTGCAGCATTTTCTAAAGCACGTGGGTGCCAGCATTTCATTTTTGTCCCACAAGTACCAAACTTCCTTCACATAATCCTCTTCCTTTACTGATGGTCTGAGCAGTACTACAGAGAGGTGATCAGAGAACCAGACTCTCCAAGCACATGCACTGCATGCACAGGACAAAATTATGGTCCCAGCTCTCAAGGATTTACAGGACAAGTTCACACAGAGCTAGGATTCATATCTTGGGCAGGACAGACATGAATCCCCATACAGAAGCTTATGCTTGAAACTATCAACTTTCTAAAGCTAGAGGCTAAAACACAATTGGAGTTTAAGCCATAGATATAAAAAATTGGGGTCAAAAGGA